TTCCTGTAGCACAGCGCAGACACAGTATATAATACTTGTCAGTAGTTCACTGAAGATTCTTGCAAAACAATGGAGGTAGAACACATAGTACTCAGGGAAACACCTCCTTCCTCCTCCTCCTCTCTTTTCCTTCTCTCCTTTAACTTCTTTCCTCCTTCCTACGAGTAGTTATTGAGGACTTACTGCGCTCTTAGCCCTGAACAACAAATGTCCCTATTCATGTATTCTACAGTCTAGTGGAAGAGGCAGACAGAAATTAACTAATCACAAAGTCAATGGCCATGGTTTGCTGATACATGCTTTGGTGACAAGTAGAGTTCTGGATAAAAGAGAATTTACTTGGTCTGGGAAGTCAGGACAAGAGTTCCTGAAGAAATGACAGCAGAGCTGAAAGCTGCAGGACTCTGGGGTGTTCAGAGGTTAAGGGAATGGGCAGGGATTGATATACAGTAGTGAAGGAACAGCTTGTGGGAAGGTGCTAAGACAAGGCCTGGTCTTGTTTTGAGAAAAGGAGTGTGAGAGTAAGAAGGAGATGAGAGCAGAGGAGAAATTTCAGCAGACCATGCAGGTAGCCATGGGACACTTGTGAAAGATTTTTAAACAGATGAGTGATATGGTTAGGTGTGAATTGCCTGAGGAGAATACCTCTGTGGATAGAATGCACACATTCCCAACAACAGACAAACAAGTCAAAGCCTAGAAACACAGGAACTAAGAAAAGCAATGAGGACTTTGTAATCTAATAAATTTTAATGTCTCATATTTTTGAGAGTCTTAGCATAAGCACTATCCAGCTAGGGACAAGTAGCCTATGCTAGTAATTCTAGCTATGCAAGATGCTGAGTATAGGTATGATCAGAGTTTGAAGACAGGGCAGAAAAGTCTGTGAGGCTCCATCTCGAATTTATCAGAAAAGCTGGACTTGGGTATATGGCTAAATTGGAAGGGTACCAACCCTGGGAAGTGCAAGTCCCAGGAGTTCAAGTCCTGGTACATGATAGCAGCCTTATTTATAACAGCCCCAGAGTGAAAATAACTCAAATATCTATGTACTGATAAACTGCCATATGCTGTATGAATAGAATGCAACCACACTTTAGCAATAAAAAAGAAATAAAGTATTGGGACTGGAGGCATGGCTCAAGTGGTAAGAGCAGCTGATTAGCAAGAATGAGGCACTGAATTCAGTCTCCAGAAAAAAATAACTAGAAGTGAGACGTAAAAGACTATAGGTTGAGTCCATTAATATTGGATCCCCACAAGAGGCTAATTTATAGAAACATCTATTAGTGATTTTTTAGTTTTAGGGATGGAGGTGAGGGATTACTACTGGGTATGGGCTTTTTCTTTTTTCTTTTTGGTCAGTCGTTGGGCTTGAACTCTGGGCCTGGATGCTGTCCCTCAGCTCTTTAGCTCAAGGCAAGTGCTCTACCACTTGAGCCACAGCACCATTTCTGGCTTTTTCTCTGGTGCTGAGGCATTGAACCCAGGGCCTCATGCATGCAAGGCAAGCAAGCACTCTACCACTTAGCCACCTTCCCAGCCCTGGCTTTTTCTAAGGATGACAAAACTGTTCTAAACATTAGATTTCAGTTGGCTAGATGGTTGCATAACCTTGAATGTACAAAACAGTTGAAATGCAGTTGAGTATGTGAATTTTATAGCAATTGAAAACCTTTTTTTTTTTTCTGTTTTGTTGTTGGTCATGGGGCTTAAACTCCGGGCCTGGGCGCTGTCCTTTAGCTCTTCAGCTCAAGGAGAGCACTCACTCCTCCACTTGAGCCACAGCACCACTTCCGGTTTTCTGGTGGATTATTGGAGATAAGAGTCTCCTGGATGTTCCTGCCCCGGCTGGCTTTGAACTGTGAGCCTCAGATCTCAGCCTCCTAAGTAGCTAGGATTACAGGTGTGAGCCACTGGCACTCCACTGTGAAACTATTTTTAAAAAAGTCTTAAAAAGAATTCATAAACTAGAGGAACTGTACAACTGGATCCTATCTTAAATATCTTCTCATTTGTTTATCTAAATTTGTAGTTCTCAATTAATCATTGGGAGAGAGCTGTAAACATTTTCAAAAGAACTTAATTAGCATTTCAACAGTGATCTTAATTGAATACCTTTTTGTCACATTTTGCCCTTAAACAGTAACCCTACTTTTTTAAAATCTTGTTTTCATTAAAAATGAAGGTGCTACCTTCAAGTAAGATATGGCCTCAAGGCTTCTAAAAAGTACTTAAGCTTCAACTAAATATATGTGAATCTTTATTCATTACATACTACATAGGTTCAAAATAGCTGCAGAGAAAGGGAGTATGAGTTTGGGCATGTGGCAATGCTTCCGTTTTTCCAGTCTGAGAAGCTGAGAAGGCCAGCCTGTCTTAGGAAAGCATTCCTGGTATCTCTATTCATCAGCATCATAGTTCCTCAGCTGGTGTCTGTATCCAATTTCCTTTGGCTTGTGCTGTGACCCTCTTAGGTTTTCATAGTAGTCGGTTTCATTTCCCTTTCCAACTTCCGTCCTACTGGTGTGTGTATGCCAAAGTGGAATTGAGGCTTAACCACTGGCATGTAGACTAAGTTGCCCTGTTTTATGCATGAGGAAGATGAGACTCTGGGTGATAAGGAGCCTTGATTTGGTTGTGTCACAGAGAGGATTTTACATTAGAAGCCCTCTCCTGATTGTTTCCTTATTTTTTTTAATCAGAGCAAAAAAAAAAAAAAAAACAACCCAAAAAGCTAAACATCTTCAATTTTCAGCTTTCAATCAATATTTTCAAATCTTTCACTACGAAGTAAGTACAGCGATATTAGGTTCCCTTTTCCTTAGAATTGACTTTGAGGGAAGAGAGGTGGTTATAGCTGAGCGTAAATGTAGAGAAGAAAACTAAGTGTGAGCTCTTCCTTTTAGCCCAAGTGTTTTCTCAAGTAATAAAACATTTCTGGCTTATTTCCATGTGGTCTTCAGAAAAGGCAGCACACAGTACTAGAGCTTTCACCTAATAGATTTTCAAAGAATGCCAAGGTCAGTGGAATTTAAATCTCACAAATTGTCTCTCACTTGGGCTATACGTTTCCACCCAGCTTCAGTTTTGGCCTTCTTTTAATCCTTCCTCCACCTTGTCTCTGAATGGAAGTTTTTTGAGTCAACTTTGAGAATTGTTTCCCTGTTTAAAACTCTTCAGTGGTCTTCCCTGCTTAAAACTACACGGAAGAGGAATGAATTCCTTTCTTGGCTGACAAAGAAGGAAATTCTAGAGGATCTAGCCCCTATTTACTTCTCCAAACTTATTTCCTCTTACTTTTTTTTTCTCAATTCCCCACCCGATAAAATGCTCCAGTATAGGTCTCAATTTGGGGCCTATCAATTACAATTTTCCTTTGCCAGAGGGATGCTCATTTCTCCTATTTTTGTGCAGGATTTAATTTTTATTTAGTTCCTGTACCAGGCTTGAAGAGGCTGGTGCTCTACCACTTGAGTCACAGAGCCATTTCTTTTTCTTTTGTTAACTGGTAATTGGAGGTAGGAATCTTAAGACTTTATGGCTGTGTTCCTGAGATCTGGCCTCCAGAGTAGCTAAGATTACAGGTACCAGGCCCAGGTGTCCGGCTTTTTGCTACATTATTATTGTAATACTGCTTAAATATCTCTTCAAAAGGACTGCCCCTCCTTAAGTAGATTATAAACACCATCCCATTACTTATCGTTATTTATTTGCTTATCGCTTAACACCACAGATAATTTTCTCTTTCTTGTCCTCTTAGCTTTCTATGACTTTGTCTTCATCAATGCTTAATAGACATCCCGGAGTAGTGCCGAAGATTCCTAAGGACTCAACCACAATTTATTGGGTGACGTGAATACCCTTTATTATATGAATACCCATACATAAATACATATATGTATATATATATACATATTTCAAGTCCTTCTTCAAATCGTGCAAAAGTCAACCCATCATGAAAAGACACTGAAAAAAAAGATGTCGTTTTCGTCTACCCAAGTACCCAGTTTGGGCGGGGTTGTCCTTGGACAGTCAATGTGACGGAACTAGCTACCGATTTTGACTGGCCACAGTCAACCTCTTGGGCCTGTCCACTGGGCCTGGCGGCGGCAGGGTAAGCGGTGCCCGGCTTCCGCTGTGACACGGTGGGGACGTCGGGGTGCCCCGCGCGCTGGCTCCCGGGGCGCAGGCGGGGACGCGCCCGCCGGGAGTGGGCCTCCCGGAGGGAGATGCTAGGGAGGCGGGGCCAGGCCGTGGGGAAGGACGGGCCGAGCCGCGGCCGCGGGACCCAGCGGGGCTGACGGCCGCTCCGGGGAGGGCCCGGGGCTGGCGACCAAAGCCAAGCCGGCCTTCGGGAGAAGAAGGCATCGCTCAGACCGCGGCCTAATGGGGTCGCAGCACGGAAGGCAGGACCCGGCAACCACACACACCTGCTGAACAAGCCGAGGCTGCGGAAGGAAAGGGTTAAGCCGTTTCCAAGGCAACGGACGAGGAAGCAGCGCCCACCGCAGGTTCGAAGGTCAGCCCGGGGTTTGAAACACCCACGGCGTGAGCGGGATCCGGACGAATGGAGAGGCCGCCCCGGCGTCACGTGACCGGCGGCCTGGCTGCGCGTTCGCGCCCGGAGCACGTGGGAAGGCGTTATGTATTTATTTATTTATTTATTTTCTTTCTCCTTTTAAAATCCCACCTTCTTTTGCGCGGGCTGGACCGTGGCGTTGTTCTCGCGAGAAGGGCGCTTCCTCCTCTCGCGAGAGTGAGTGGGAGGTTTGGGGAGTAGGCTGGGTCGCGAGCTGGAGCGGCGGCGGCGGCGGCGGCGGCGGAAGCCGAGGGGGCGGGCAGGGCGAGGGCGGGGG